TATCTGCTATGGCCATGGAAGGGGTCTTGGGACAAGAATGTTCACTAAAGGAATTAGAAAATAAAATCTGAGATTGGAATAAGTAAACAAAAATGGGCTGAGGACACAACTAGTGAGAGATAAGCCAAAAGAAAGGGGCTACAAGTGATCATAAGGAAGGGATACAAAGGGGAAAAGATTTATATGAACTCTATTTTTGCAACTTTTCTGTAGGTGTAAAATTATTTAAAAATAAAATGTAAAAAAAACAAAAAGCAAAACAAAACAAAAACGCCAATAGCATCAGCTCAAGTATCTCCCCTTCTGGCCATCCTATCTAAAATGGTCCCCTTCCCAATATTGTCTATCTTCCTCTCATTTATTTACTTTCTATTTTATTATTTATTTGTTTGTTTTGAGACAGGGTCTCACCCTGTCACCCAGGCTGGAGTACAGTGGCACGATCTCAGCTCCCTGCAACCTCTACTTTCTGGGTTCAAGTGATTCTCCTGCCTCAGCCACCCGAGTAGCTGAGACTACAGGCGCATGGCAGATTTTTGTATTTTTAGTATAGATGGGGTTTTGCCATGTTGGCCTGGCTGGTCTCAAACTCCTGGCTGCAAGTGATCCACCTGCCGTGGCCTCCCAAAGTGTTGGGATTACAGGCATGAGCCACTGCACCCAGTCTATTTACTTTTTATTATTGGCTGCTATCTAAAATAACACATATTTGCTTATTTATTGCATTGTGCATCTTCTCCATAAAACAAAGCTCTAAGAGGGCATAGATTTTGACCGTTGTCCCTTGCTGTATCTGCAGTGTCTAGGATGGTAACTGGCACACAGAGAAAGAAACGTTTCCATGAATTCAATTTCCAAAGAGGATGACAGAATAAAAGTTAGAAAAGCAGGTCTAGAGATAGAAAATGTTACTCCCAAACTCCTAAATTCTAATGATTTCCTCATTACAGTATATAAAGTGAACTTTTCATGTATCTAACATTTAAGCAACTAAACACAAGCTAGAAGACGACAGGAGGCTCACAGGTTGCAGGCGCAAAGTGCCATGGGTGGTTTGAGGGAGGCAAACGCACACTGAGGAGTAAAAGGAACAGCTTCGCAAAAGTTGTTAAATTTATCAAGGCCTTTAAAGAAACCTCAGATTTTAGAAAGGCAAAAAGCAAAGGTGGGCCAGGCATAGTTGTGAGTGCCTACCATCCCACTACTCTGGAGGCTGGGGCACAGAGATGGCAGAGGCCTGAAGTTCAAGGCTCTAGTGTGCCATGATCAAGCCTATGAAAAGCTACTGTGTTCCAGCCTGGACAACATAGGGAGATCCTGCCTCTAAAGAAAAGAGAAAAGAAAAAGCAAAGTTGGGAGAATGAATTATCAAGAAGAAAGAACTGTGTGAGCAAATCCAAAAATGCAGGAAAGGAAGAAGCAAAAGGCAGAAAGAGTTGTGGTTTGCTGGAGCAATGAGTGGGTAAAAGGAAATAGGGAGAGAAAAGACTGGAATGGTGGGTTGGGGTTACATTGTGAATAAATGGTCTAGAATTCCAGTCTAAGAACCCTAGACTTTACTGGGTAACAACAGGGCCTTGACCTCTGAATATCTGTAAATAGAGTTACTAGAGTACTGCCCTGCAAAACTCATCATGGAATTATAACAGAATTCTAGACTCTTAAGAACTACAAGAAATCTTTGGGTTCATCCTGTGTAACTTTCCATTAATAGGAATTCTTTCGGCCTTTTCACCCTCTGTCTTGGATTTGAGTCCCCTGCCATCCGGTGATCTGTTTACCATCCAGGCTTTATCATGAATACTTCATGTGAAGTATTCATGAAGTATTTCATGAAGCGACATATTGATTGCTAAACAACTTCAGTAGTCAGAAAGCATTTCGTTAGGTTAAACTCACACCAGTCTTGGTCCAATTTCTACCCATTGCCCTCTGGCATAAAATGAAATGCTTAATTCTTCTTTTACAGCATAACAAGCAACAGTCTTCTACCTGGCTGCTCTGCTTCTCAACACAGTAGCCAGTGATTCTACTAAAATCTGAACAACATTAGCTATTATTACTCTGCCCTTAAACAAAAGGCTCTGCCCCTGTGAGAAGCTGGTACCAGCCTCTTCTCTCCCTGGTGGCTGCCCCTACTGACTTACAGGCCATTCTCCCATTTACCGTGGCATTTGGCTCTTAGTCTTTCTCCACTCCTCTTCTTAAAATCATGCACTGGTTCCCATTTCACTCAGAAAAGAAACCAAAATAATTAAAATGGTCTACGAGGCATCTCCCACCCCCATCACCTTTGTCTGTCTGCTACGTACGACTCTCCTCTTGATCCTGCGGCTCTAGCTACTGTAGTCCCCTCTTTGCTATTTCTGCAACATGTCTGGTGTCCTCCTGCCTGAGGACATTTTCAGTGGCTGTTTCTAGTGCTTAGGACTCCTCCGGTGTCAGCATGTTACACTCGCTCACCTCCTTCTTATCTTTGCTCAATGTTGCCCAGACTACCCTTTTAATTCTATAACTTTCTCCTACCACATTCTCACAGATGCTCCCCAACTCCTTATCCTGCCCTGTTTTTTCTCTATTGTCCACAGCACTTTCCATGTTCTAATACACTAGATCCTTCTGTTATTTATTATGCTTACTAGTCCTTGTTGTCTCCTCCTACTAGCCTGTGGGCCTGGAAGGGCATGATCTCTGCCTGCCAGTGTAACCCAAGCATGTAGAACAAGGGCCCTTACTGAGCAGAGGCTTATTAAAGATTATTCGGTGTTGATAGAACACGGTGGCATGCTGAAACCTAACATGCCACATCTCCTTATCTCACTGGTCATTCCAAACAGCCAGCCTCTCCTGTGCGGTGTTCCCATGCTGCTTTGTGCTTTCTCTCCCCTGATCCAATCTGCTTCTTCTCATCCTCCCATACTCATAGTGCCTTTTTGAAACTCAGCTTTGTGGTTATTAAGTATCCCTACATTCTCAGGCCTTGTACTGCATCCTCCCTCCCCACTTCTTCTTTACATGAAATCAGGCTCTCCCAGCAGGATTCTGATTCCCCTGGAATCTTTGGAAGTGGAGGCTGCACATTCTTTCATATTTCATACCCTTCAGGGTCTGAAGGTTGGTGTCCTCTTTGCTTTCATTGTAGTTCCCTCACTAATATTACTCTGCCCTTAAGCCATTCTCCCATTTACCATGGCATTTGGCTCCTAGTCTCTCTCTTTCCCCTCTGATTTGTCATCATCTGGGGTGACTAGGAGGATGCTCGTGTGAGTGACCCATCCTAGGCTCCCAATTCATGAACTGTTAATGGCTCAATCACAGTGACTCATCCACATTCACACATTTCAGTTCCCCATACTCATGGCCAAATCCACACTCATCCATCTCTATCCCCCATACTCATGGCCAAATCCAGACTATGTCATCCTCAAGATCTGCTCCACTGTTGACATCTGAAATATAAATATCCTGCTCTCTCATCGCAATCGCTATTACCTCCACTGTGCTGCTTCTTTGATCTCATCAAAATCCCCCTTCCCCAGACTCCACTGCAGTGTCCTTTTCTGGCAGCCTCTTGATAGTTCTACTTTGTTCTTGACTGAGCTTAGACACCAAGATCCATGACTTCCTGGGAGCAGCCACTCTAATCTTCATGGATTTTTTTTTGTACTCGTTCACATAGTATAGTTTACATAAATTTGCAATAGTTCAAAAAATCCCACAAAAATACCCCCAAACAACAAACCAAGGTCTTACTTTATGTAAAAATGGAAATAATATGAATTCTCTACATTAAAAAAATTGTCCAGAATAGGAACACATCCAAGCTGGAGGGCCCAGTGAACGGTAACCTGTTTTTATGCTCTTACCACATGGTGGTGCCACTTTGGCTGATAAACAGAACATTTGCCATCTTTGCTCAGGACCGTGTGAATCTCACTGTTGTTTATATACAGTGGAACTTCTGTAAGTGATTATGATGACTAATGTGCTGTTATTTTACAAACTCTGTTATTATAATTGAAAATATTTTTATATCCTACAACAATATCTCTCAAGCATTCATTAAGCAGTGGTTCTAGTGATAGTGCTGAAAAACACGGCCCCCCAGAAACAGTAACACTGGAACAGACGTTAGTTGTGATAAAACATTATGAAGGCCAAATATCCACTATGGCCTCCTGTGTTGGTAATTTAGGCGAAAGCACTCTAAAAAATTAGAGCAAATGAAGAAAAAATTAAAAAGAACAGTAAAGTAAAAGTAAGCTGCAATGCTGTACATTCATGCATTCCCCCAAAGCATCCCCTTTACATCTTTTCTTATGGGATAATTAGCCTTGAAGTATGAGTTTTATATCGTGAGACCGCTTCAGGAATACATGTATCACACAGATGTAAATGCCTTTTCAAACACAGCATTTCTTCACCTTCACAAAGTTAAACTCCTTCTACTATTACATCACAGGCACACAGCAAACAGTCATTTTCCAGTTGTTTAGCTTTGGCTAAGTTTCTTAACCTCGCTGTATATCAGTTTCCTCATCTGAAAAATTAGGATGATAGCACTACCCACCTCAAAGGGCTGTGGTAGGGACTGAATGAGCTTGATATAATACATTTAGAACCTGTGTGGCACTGAGTCACACTGTGTAAGTATCAGCTTACACAGTTGTAATCACCACCTTCTCATCAACTCTTGATGATACTTTTAAGGTTGAAGTTGTTTCACTGGGTTAAAAAAAATAAGGTGTCCCTTTATTAACAGTATTTGAATTATAGTGCATGCCATGGTTACTTGTAAGATATGTGGTGTATGAAAGTATTAATGCTTCTTTTGCTATTTTCTCCTGAAAAGCTGTCAGAAACCTTTATCAAAGTTCTGAGGAGCCCTTCTAGTCTATGTACTGGGTAAGTAGCATGATTCTGGATACGACCTGCTCAGACGCTAACATTTACATCAAGGGACACAGCAGTGTTAAGTGGACATTTCTTAGCCATCTTACCTTCAGTCTGTCTTTGGGCAGTGCAACGACACCTTGCTTAATTATTTCCAGGACCCGTTCCACTGACAGCTCAGCTCCAGCTTGCAGCAACCTTGAGCTAAAGAAGGTGATCACCTGTAATGTAAAGTGTTATTTTTTAAACAAGCAGATGTATGAAGTACATTTTTAGTAGATGCTTTTCTCACATGGTAGTCAAACTATCATGATTCCATTCCTACAATGACCTGGCTTTTAATTCGCTAGCCCTCACCTAAATGCAGTTTGCTCTCTGTTGGATTTGACAGCTGAACCAGAGGCAACCCGTCAATACCTAGGGCTGATTATTTATTTTGTGAATTAAGTAGCCTCCTGAATTCTACTCTTTCTTGTGCTGCCCGATCTTGCATTTATATTTCATTTAGAGAGCAGTATCCAACAGAAAAGTGAGGAGAGAAAGCTAAACCTTAAAGCCTATCACTTTTGAAGCTCAGTAGTAGCTCTCTCTCTCTCTTTCTCTCTCAAAAGGGCTTAACAGGAAAGGAATTTGAAGCTAATGGCTAAAATGATGTTTTGGAGATTATCTATGAATTTAATTTAGCCATACTTCCCTCACCCTGATCACCAGGGATAATGAATAGCAACCTATAATTACTTTTGCTTCATGTTATAGCACAGCCCAAAGTATGCAGCAAGATACTAACACAGTAGCATTCCGGAAATAGCACTGTCCCTAAATATTTGTCACTAAAAATGAAAACATCATTTTTCAGCAAATTATTTAAAAAACCACAATGTTCATAAATCAAGAAGACTGCAGATCCCTTTTAAACTCAAGAAAATAACATTTAGATGTCTGTAGTCAGACATGCAAAAATATAAAAATTTATTGTGTTTTTGTCAAGTTGAGCATTACATTTATGTCTTCTATTTTATATGTCAAATATATTGCTACAAACAATTATTCATAAACATTTTAACGCATTTTCTTTCAGAATTACTCTCTTAAATGTTAATTGTTTAAGAGTACAATAACTTTTATCTTAACCATTCTAGTGGAATGTACACTATATTACCTGAATGCCACTAAATGCATTTGTTCTGGAAGGTAAAGAGACTTAGCATGTGCCTCACAATTCTGTGGCATGAGTGGGAACAAAGCAGCCCATGACTGGTGACACTGCTTGTGATTCCAGATAAACCATTTCTTTATTTCAAGCAGTTTGCTGGCACCACTAGGCTTTTTTGCAAGTTGCTTATTTCGTCCGTACGTTGGTTTTTCGGTATGTGCCTATGAGCCTTGTTCCTCCCCATGTCGGATTTTAAGTCTTTTTGAGTTTCTGGGATTAATATTTTGTTCACAGAGCTTACACACAGCAGGTCCAGAAATTGGTTTCTATAATATAGTGAATAAATCTTTGAAGAAAGACACAACACAGAGAGCAAAACATAATAGATTAAAATCCTATTTTAAAAATATGCAACAACAAATACGCAAATTAAATGCTTTCCTTTTGTGTAAAGGTCTTCACAGGTTGCAAACATGAGCATAGTTTTTCTGAGAAAAAGAATGGTTAACATGTGAAATGCCATTTTTGTTGGTAAAAATACGGTTTAATGTTAGCAATTTCATAAGGGTCAGCCTAACACCTATCCATAAAATTAGCTTCTTTGACCAAAAGACATTTAAAAAGTAGGAGCATATCTGTTAAAAACAGATAATAAAAAAAATTAAAAAGTAGATGTTACAAATGCTTGAAGATTACTGTTTTTTTTTTTTTTTTTTTTCCCTAACATGTGCTCAAAGCTGACATTTCACTACTGGATTTTTGTTTTGTTTTGTTTATAGCAGTAGATAACATAAACAAGAAGTAGTTCTCAAGCATGGCTGACCATGAAAGGCAGCTGAGAAGCCTTGTGAATGGCTGACTCCAGGGCCTGGTCAGGGACCTGCCATTATACATCAGGCTCTCCAGGTGATTTTGATGATCAGCCAGAATCTAGACCAGAGGTCTCCGAACTTTTCAGGATGTACACATCTACAAGTAAAAAAATGAGGACGTGCTTGCAATATATGTTCTAGTTCTTTCTAAATCATACAATGTACTACAGCACTGATATTTTATATATTATAAAATGTTCATAAAAGTAAATGTAAACAAATGAGATAAAGATGAAATGAATTAGATTTTTAAAAATCAATGATACAAAACACATTTTTTGTACTCATTAAAATGTTATTGAAAATAATCTGGGTAATTACCTCTATGTCCCACTAATCACAGTGGTTTCACAGGACCATCAGCAAGCACAATATTTACCCACAGTAAGATGCATTGTTTGTTACAGTGAATATAAATCCATAGTGCCAACAGTCTTCCTGATAAATTTTATGGATCCATTTCTTGTGAGATTAGACTGGTTTGTCATTGTTTTCCCCCTGTAATGTGGCACTTGTTCTAGGAGGAGGGGGATGTCAGCTCTGCCATTATCTTTTGTCATATGTGCTTATATTTTTCTATCACCTTCAGTCTGTGGGGAAACACGTTATTTTGTGAGGGTTTAATTAAATCCAGATACTGTAACCAGGAACACATATACTACACCAAGCTTTATGTGAATGAACAGGTGAGCTCAGGTATGCCAAGCCCTACGAGTTGAACTCCTCCTATCTCCTCCCTCGGGATATCTGGAGTACTGAAGCTGACACAGATCCTGGCACATTGTAAAGGCCAATACTATTAGTAAAACTAAATCTCTTTATTTTTAGATGAATAAATAGAAGCTCTAATATCTTCTTTCCATGCTTCTATGGACGAACTGTTAGTGCAACCTCTGGGGCATGTGCATTCATCCCCTTTGATAATCACTAATTGAGATAACAAAATGCACATAATCAAAGCTAAACGGAACTTACAGTATTCACATACTACTCAAAGACATGAGAAACCAACAAAAGGGAGTATACTTATGTGTCACACCACCAAGAACAAAGTAACGCAATGACAGTTTTGCTTTGTTGACTCTGGCCTATACCGGCTTTCCTCTAAGCCTCAAGGAATTTCCATTTCCACTGGGAAAGCTGCAGAGTAGGCATGAGGCTGGGCTTCTAACTAAATTCCTTTTTCAAACTGGCTCTCGTTCGTATGTTTTAAAGCTGACATTCTCATGTTTTTGCATTCAAATTCACTCTATTTTAGAAAATGATAAAACTACCACTTGCAGAAGGGAAGTATAATTTATGTATCAAAAACAAAGGAAACAAATCTATCCTGAATGTTTATTATGGACAGTGCTGTACAAACACTATTTATTTAATTCTCACAACAATCCCATGAGGCTGATAAAAAATCTCTGTCCTGCAGAACAGTAAAAAGGATCAGAAGGACAAGAAACTAGACTGTGGTGACCTAGGCAAGTGGGAGGAGCAGGACTATAGCTCAGATATTTCTTCTTACTTTATCATGTCTCCAGCAATTTCCACATAACAAAATGGAGATTAGCTTAGTTTTTCAAAAAGAAAATACCTGACTGAAAGGTATAAGCAGTTTAGCCAAACCTTTCAGATGCTGTCTGACTGCAACACCAGCAAAGAACGTGAAACAATTCATTCAAAGATATAAGCTTCTATTTTCTACTACCGGGTTATAATTTTGCACATAACAGTACTTTTAGTGATGATGATTACAACAGATCTGTGGCTTTTATCAATTTGTACAGCAACCATTAGAACTGTTCAAATAGATGAACTTTTATTCCTCTGAAAATCTCTGCATGAGACACAGCCAATAACAGAAAAAATTTAAGTAAAACCTTTAGTGAAAGTAGGAAGGAATGCTTTGTCAGTGGAACTCAAAGACAACCTTTCAAAGGAAGGCACTTTTCCACAGTGCTTGTTCTACAGCCCTCCTCTACCTACCATATTTGGCTGCAACTCATGAAATCCAAGTATAGCATATTACCTTCCATTATGCTATTAGCTTTGAGCAGTGATTGCCCAATGTCACATTCTGATTAATCAGTTGTATACTTTGAGTAATGTCTATTCACAGTTAACCACTTGTCATGAAATGAATGACTATTATTAATAGATCACAGATTAATAGAAACAAGAAGCTTTTCTGGAATAGAGGAGGGTAAAAAGGAGCGAGTATGTGGTTGTCAGGCAAACATACTTGCTTGCTAAAAATGGCCACTCTCCTAAGAGGTAGAAGGAGAGAGCTAAGTTTTTTTAAGACAACAATAGATGTGTAAAATTCATATATATTTCCTCATTGACTTGACTTTTTAAAATACAGTTACTGTATTTTAGTCAATACATGTATTTACAGCCCATTCATCGGAGGAGCTCTCTTGAGGATTTGCCAGGGAAATAAATGGATGGTACCATCTTCTTTCTTCAAGAAAGATGCAATATAATTTGGGACAGATCAAACCTGAATAATTAGAATAGACATCATGGTAAAGTGGATAATGAACTACTCAAAGTCAGAAGGCCTAGACTTGAGTCCTGCCTGTGATATTTACTAGTAATGTGACTTGAAAACCACTCAACATCTAGACATTGCATGATGCAGTGGTTTACAGAATGAACCTGGTGTCAGACTGCTTAGGTTTAAATCCCACCTGTCCTTATAATACCTTCAAAGTGAAAAAGTTACAGCACCTACTGCATAGAAATCAACAATGATAATGTGGCAACTTTGTCATTTTGTCAGTGAGAGTACTGATATACACCTAATAACAATAAGAGCTAACGTTTTGTGAGCACTTGCCATGTGCAAAGCACTTTGCGCTGTGCAGACCTTAACTTATGTAAGACTATAAATTTCTCTCTGAGCTTTTGCTGGGTCCCACAAATTTTGATAAGTTGCATTTTCACTTTTGCTCACTTTAAATGTGTTCTATTTCCCTTGTAAACTTCTTTTTGGCACATGGGTGTACTGTTCAATTTCCAAGTATTCGGAGATTTTCCAGATATCTTTCTTATTGATTTCTATTAAATCATTTAATTTCATTGTGGTCAAAGAATACACTCTAGGTGATCTTAAGTCATTTAAATTTGCTGAGGTTTGTTTTACGGCCCCATGTATGGTCTATCTTAGTGGATGGTTCGTGTGCACTGATGTTGTTGGGTG